ACGGCATCCGGTCCGTGGTGCGCAGCGCCGTCCTCGGGCGCGACGAGGATGCGCAGTCGACGGGCCTCTCGGCCTACCGCACCCTGATCCCCACGGCCGAGCTGCAGCACATTACGGGCCTGCCCGAGGGCGTGAGGCTGGGCGACGACCAGACGCTCATGGTCGTGGGGCGAGACTGCCGCATGGTCATGGGCCCGTCGCGAAGCAGCACCGTGCTGGGCGTCGTGGGCCTGGTGCCCGACAGCCATGCGCCGCAGCAGGACGATGGCTCTTGGAACACGTCGGCGTCGATCGAGGGCTTTACCAAGTCGTTTGCCGACTTCCCGGCGTGGGTGCGCGCCATTATTGCCAAGTCGGTCGACCTGAGCATCTGGCAGCTGCGCGACACGGAGCCGCTGGAGCGGTGGCACCGCCAGCGCGCCACGCTGATTGGCGATGCGGCGCACGCCATGCTGCCGACCCAGGGCCAGGGCGCCAGCCAGTCGTTTGAGGACGCCGAGGCGCTCCAGCACCTGCTGCGCGGCGTCGACGCATCGACGACCGCCGAGGAGCTCGACGACCGGCTGGCGCAGCTCTTTGCGGCGAGGCACGAGCGCGCCTCGCTCATCCAGGCCTACAGCCGCCAGCAGGCGCGGCCGGGCGCCCAGGCGGGCAAGGTGACGCTCAACCCGCGCGAATTCATGGACTACAATTGCCAGTACGACGGCGTCGAGTCCTGGCTGCGCAAAAAGGCCGAAGAGAGGAGGTTGCACGAGGACAAGACGCTGCTCGACACCGAGGGCGAGCAGGCCGCCTCGGACAAGGCGGCGGCAGCCGTGCTGGCCTAGTGTCGCTCCGAGTTGCTCCCTAGCTCGTCTACCTGTCAGGTCCTAGGTACCCGTTCCGCTTCTGCCGTCGAATCGTTGTTCTCCTTCTTGAGAATGCAAAGATACCGCTCCATACCGCCCCAGATGGCTCCGGCTTGGGCCAAGACAGACGACACAGGGCGATGCATTGACAGCGCCAAGAGAGGGTCTCCTGACCGGGCCGCACCCGACCAGACCAGGGCGAGGCAGGGCAGGCCATATCCACAGCAATTCCCCCCGCAATTTCGACCCGACTTCCCCGCGGGACTGCTCGGCGGTCAGCTTGCTCAAGCACGCCTCCGAGACGGTACGGGACGGAAGACGACGCCACAGCAGCCATTGCAATATTCCGGCTCCGGGTAGCGGGGGCGAGGTTTAAACGGCACCGAGATGCGTCAAAGGGATGCTCAGCACAAGTTGATTGCGGCCTGCCACCCGCTACCGCCAAGGCTGTCGCTCCATCTCGTGCGGCTGCCATGTTTCGACCTCGACCTCGCCCTCGCACGCGTCTATGGACCGCCATGACGGCTCGGCACGGTGCGGATCGGTACGGCAATCAAGGCACGGCACGGGGCGGAGCCTGGACAGTCCTTGGGTTTCCCTGGGAGAGAGTCGTGATGAGACGCCGACCCGTGAGGCGATTTGCTTGGCATGCCACCCCGTCGAATGGAATCCGGGCCGTGGTGTTGTTGTTGGGACGCGGGTCTTGGTGGCTGCAGGCTGGACGGCCCACATGAGCCGGTAGGGGAGTGGGGAAGTCGGCTCCCCACCTCTGCGCGTCCTGGCTTTGCTGGCTTGGCCGACGGGCTTGGCTGGCGGACTTGGCTGGACGGACGGATCGGGCTCGATCGTCAGACGACGCATCTGGATGTCGATCTGCCTGCCTCTCGCTCGACTCAAGGCAGAGCAACACGCGGAGAGATTCTTGTTCACGACGTCTACCAAACGGCCAACCGGAGGGAAAAGGGCGAAGGGGCAAGGGGCGGGAAAAGCTGACCGCCGACCCGCTGCGTCGGTCCGGGTGGCGGCAGAGGTCGGTTCGGTCCGGCTCGGTTCGGCTAGTCATTCCATCGCCCGCCCGCGTGCCTCGGCGCACATGGCAAGGCCCAAGTCGAAGAAGCAGGCAGGCAGGCAGGCAGGCCAGCAGGCGGGCAAGCTCAGACACCTGCTGCCCGCTTCCCCTATCCAACCCCGACCCGAAGCAGAGATCAAAGGCTAACGCACCGTCCGGTCTTGGGCGGCAGCACGACACTTCTGCGGCCAAATCTCACCACCGACAGAAAGACGCCCCCCGCGCCCGTTTGCCCGACCAAACCGGCGTCGACGGCTGTGGCCTTGGCTCGTGATGCCGGGTTGTGCAGCCTGATCCACCGTTAATCCAGCCGTAGCCGATGGTACCCTGTAGCCTTTGGCCCCTCTGCCCACTGCCGGCCAATTCTATTGACACGACCTTGATTGGTCCGCCTGCCTGCCTGCCTGCCTCGTCTGATTGCGCCGCGTTGCCGCCTCCGCCTCCGCCTCCGCCGTCGCTGCTGTGGGCCCCCCAGTTTTGCCAAATCATCCTGTCTTTCCCCGCGCCTTTCCCCACTTTTGCCACGGTACCGCATCCTCTTTCTTCGACCTACGACCCACAGGATCAGCGCATGGCGTGGCGCAGGCGGCGGTTCGCGAGCGTGGCACTTTGTCGCTCGCCCCTAGTCCTATCCTCGCCTTCCTCCCTTCCTCCTCCTCCTCCTCCTCCTCCTCCCCATCGCCCCTGTTCCCGCCCAGGCAACAACCTATCCGGTGCCCCACACTGGGGTATCGCTCCCGGTACCATCCCTCCATGCTCCCCGTCCCGGTCGGCACACCTGCAGCCAAGTACAGAAGGTAGGCAGCCCACCCCTCCTGCATCGCACCCAACTTCGCTTTCTCGCTCGCTCGCATGGCACTCGTCTGCCCCTTCCCCGGCCTCTTGCCAGATCCATCTGCTTGCCCCTCGCCATTGTACACACCGTGCCGTATCGTGCTGTTTGTACAGTATCCTGCCGCTCGTCTGTGGAGCCGACCCTTCGTCAATCCTGGTCCCCCCTTGGGCCCGGCCCTCGCTCACTTCCCCGCAGCGACGGCCGTCCAATCCGCGCCCTCGGCTCGTCCACCCTATAAGACTCCAGTCATCCTCGCCACCCATTGCCCTCGTCGTTCTCCATCCAGACAGCAGAGCAAAGCAACAGTAGCGCCCCTCCCCCCCATACATACCCCGCCTTTCTTTGGTCACCCCGCACTCGACGGCCTCCTTCTCGCCGCCACCTGGTCTTCCCCTCTCTCCCTTTGCCATTCTCTATTGGCGTCTCCGCGGCCTTTGACTTGACACTCGCTCACAAAGCCACCGCCGCCGCCCTGCGCCGCCTACCCTTCGTCCATTCGCCCGCCATTACCGGCACCACCACCGCCTGACCTCGCCACCATGTCCGACGACGACCAAAAGCTCTCCAAGACGTCGTCGCGCATCGACCGGACGACGTCGCACACTGACGAGGAAAAGACGTCAGTCATTGACGCCACCGTTCCCGCCGTCTCGCACCGCCTCAACCACCACCACGCCCACGTCCCCGCCAGCGGCGACGACAAGAACATCACCGACAACACCGTCCGCCTCGTCGACAAGGACGGCCACACCCAGCGCTGGCCCCTCGCCAGCAACGACCCGCGCGACCCGCTCAACTTTGGCAAGTGGACCAAGCTCGGCATCGTCGTCTCGTGCTGCTGGCTCTCGATCTTCTCCCTCGCCCTCGCCGGAGGCCTCGGCCCCATCATGGGCACATTCTACCAGATGTACCACGAAAAGGGCCCCGCCGAGGTCACGCTGCTCAGCACGCTCCCCTCGGTCATGATTGGCGTCGGTGAGTAGCAGTGCCGTCTTTTCTTGATGGCTCGGCCCGGCTCGGCTCAGCTGCCATCTGCCACACCGCCGCGGTACTGACGCCGATGTCCCGCGTCGCACCTTGCTCGTTCCCCTTCCCTTTCCCGATCCCTCGACCCCGTTCGATCTCGACGCGTCCGTCCACCCGCAGGCAACCTCATCGTCATCCCCGCCTCGATGGTCTTTGGTCGTCGCCCCGTCGTCCTCGTCTCGGCCGCCGTCCTCATGGCCGGCTGCATTGGCTCCGCTGCCAGCCAATCGTTTGAGGTCCACCTCGCCACTCGTATCGTTCAGGGCCTCGCTTCGGGCATCTCGGAGTCTTTGCTGCCCCTCATGATCACGGAAATCTCGTTCGTCCACGAACGCAGCCGCATCTTCGCCATCTACTGGGCATCGCAGAACGTCTTCTCCTCCGGACTCAACCTGGCCGGATCCTACGAGGTCGAGGCATTGGGCTTCAGGGCCTTTTACGTGGTTTATGCTGCCGCGGCGGGGGCTGGTATCATCATGAGCTTCCTCTTCCTCGCCGAGACGGGCTTCAACCGGCCGCCGCAGCAAAAGGACGGCGTGTGGTACGTCGTCGACCGCTTCGGTGTCAACCACGCCATGACGCGCGAGCAGCTCGAGCAGGCTTTCGCCGACAAGACCATCGTCGTCGACCCGCGCTACAACGCCGACACCGTCGAGGCCATCGAGGCGACGAGCGAGGTCGAGCACCGCCCCTTTACCTGGGCGCAGCGCCTCAAGCCGTGGTCGGGCGTGCAGCGCCCGGCGCTCCGCATCGCCGGCCGCACCCTCTACGACGTCCTCATGGCCCTCTTCTGCCCCACGATCCTCTACGTCACGCTGCTGGTCACGGTCGTGCTCGGCACCTCGATCGCCGTGTCGCTCACCTACTCGACCGCGCTCCTCGCCTACGGCTGGCCTGCCCAGAACATTGGCCTGATCGCCATCGGTGCCATGATCGGCGCCGCGCTGGGATCCGCCTACGCCGGCTTCTTTGGCGACAAGATCCTCATGGCCATGACGCGCCGCAACCACGGCGTGCTGCGACCGGGCCACTACCTCGTCGTCTCCATCTTCCCGGGCGTCGTCGCCTTCGCCTCGCTCCTCCTCTACGCCTTCACCGCCTCCGGCAACGCCACCTGGGGCGGACCCGTCATGGCCTGGGCGCTCAACCAGTTCTCCTTCACCAGCATGCTCATCATCACGTCGGCCTACGCCACCATCGCCTACCCCGACAACCCAGGCGCCGCCCTCCTCCTCGTCATCGGCGCCAAAAACATCATCTCGTACGGCATCACCCAGGGCACCCTGCCCATGGTCATGTCCCACAGCAACGAGTGGGCCTACGGCGTCCTCGCCGCCATCCTCGGCGCCAGCTTCCTCGTCGGCCTGCCCTTTTACTTCTGGGGCGACGCCATGGACCGCTGGGCCATGCGCCAGTCGAAGCGCATCTTCCACAAGTAGACGACGGCACGGCACGGCACGCCGGCGCGCGTGCCCCCGCCCCGCTCTTCGAAGCCTTGGGCCAACGTCTTCTTTCTTCTTGCCTCTGCCTCGATGCTTCTGCTTTCCAGTCTCTCTGCTATCTCGCGATCATCCTGCTCTCTCGTCTCCTTTTTCACGCACACGCACCACGTTTCCTCTTTCCGCCTTCAGGGCCGATGGCAAAAGGATCCCCCTTGTAACACTATACGACCACAGCCACACGAAAGAATCAAACCGGCGGACGGGAACGGCGTCGATTACGACCCTTTGATGCACGCCCAGCCGGACAAAATCGATTTCATGCCGCCCATATACTGACGTGGCTTGCGTGAAGAGTGATTTGGTTGAGAATCAGGACCGAGACGATCAGCAGAGAGAGCGCGCGACTGACAAACCTTTTATAGATCTCTTGACGCGTCCTCGTCGTCCCTGCCCGGTCCTGGTTCGGGGGCATCCGCCCGCTCGCTTCCCCACGGCTGCTCTTCTCCCTTCTTGGCAGGGCGTCTGCTCCTGTCCCTCCGTCCGGCAGGCGAATGACGGGGCCGATGGAGCCAGCCCACTTCGGCAGGGGTGGGGGGCAAGCCAACGCGTCGAGTTAGGCCTAGCGCTTGGATCCGCCGCTGTGTCCGGGTCCGACGTCCTGTGTGTGGCCTCTCTCGCCGAGTACCGCCCCCCATCTCGCCCAGTCATGACTGGTCACCGGGCACCTTGCTGTCGGCGGAAATATCTTTCCCGCCGCGCACACGACGTTCGACTTGTAGAGCGGGCTAAAGCTGTGCTCGACATTGCGCCAATTGATGAAACACGGGTATGGCGCCGTCGAGGTTCGGAGAAGGAAGCCAGGAGCAGGTGTCCGCGGCAGGACCGGCTGCTTGCTGCTCGCATCGGCAGGCCCAGGCGGGACGCTGTGACAGATGGAGCCCCCCTCGTCCGATGTGCCTACCGGCTAGCGCCGGCTAGCTCGGCCTGAGCAGCGAAACACAGCCAGCTTGCTCGATCGACGAGCAGGAGCAGGGGCGCGCAGCCGTATCGTGCTCGGCCGTCGCGCGAGCGCGCTCGTGGGCATCTTCCCAATGCTCTGCTGCGTCCCTCGACACTGGCCAAGCAAGACAAAGCGATCGCCACATGACGGGCGAAGATCGAGGTCCGCTCTTCCTCGCCCCGCTTCCTCGTCAGAGGAAGCTGCACAGAGAGGAGCCGCGAGAAGATGGTGTGTCGTGCGTGCTGTAGCCGTGCTATGCTGCAACGGTGTGGCTCGCCGCTCGTTTGATGGGATTCGATGGCTAAACGATCCAGCTCGGTCGACCACCCGACCTCGTCTACTCCTCGTCCGTTCCTTGTCCGCACGACGCGGCGACGCCTCAGATCCGCTTGATGCCCTCGAGGACCCGCTTCATCTCGTCGCCGCTCATCATGACCCTGACCTTGCCGCCCGTCCTCAGCACCAGCCCATGGTCTCTAAACTCGACGAGCAGCGCCGCGAGGTCGCTCTCGGTCGATGCCAGGAAGTTGCGCCGCGCCAAGTCCACCAGGGCGGCATAGTCGAGCCCTTCCGCCTCTCCGTCGCCGCCCTCGCCGCCGGCGCTCGACTTTTTCGCAATCAGGGTGAAGAGCGCCCTCGCCTTGACCGTGACAGACTTGAGGATGTGCAGCGCCGCCTTTTCGGTCACCTGTCGGGCCGGCTGGGAAGCGGCATCGGCGTCGCCCTCGTGGTGTCCCGCAGCCGATCCGTGGTGCCGCGAGCTGACGGCACCGGCAACGTAGCCGAGTCCGCCGTTGAGGTCGAGTGCCGGCGGTAGCGGGATCATCAGCCCGCCTGCGGTCACACCGCCGCCGCGGGTGCCGGTCCGTGCCAGCAGCATCTCGTCCAGCGGCGGCACAAAGGTGCTGAGGTTCTGCCAGATCCAGCGCGCTCTCGAGCCAGAGATGCTCTCGCCGCCGTCGACGACCTCTCCGGCCTGCACGGGCGCGCAGGTCGATGGCATGGATGACGACGAGAGGCCGCCGATGAGCGCCGCGTTGATGTGCTCGACACAGGCCATGACGTGGATGCGGTCTGCCGCCGCAAACGTCTCGAGGATGGGCCGGAATCGCGCCGCCTGCAACGCCGGTGCGTCAAAGGAAAGCAGCAGCAGGTAGAGTCGAGGCGGCAGCAGGTCGGCGTCCGCATCCTCGTCCTCGCTGCCGTCAACCAAGTCGCCATCAATGTCCATCGCCGCAGCACCATCCCCCTCGCTCTCATCGACATCCGGTCTCGGAGGCGGGCCTTGGAAGAACGAGGCGATACGCTGCGCCCGAGAGATGAGCGCCGAGGAGGCCAAATGGGTCGAAGCTGTCGTGCGAACCTTGGCGTTCCGGCCGCTGCCGGCTGCATCATCACCCTCAGAGCCGTCGCCGTTGACGCAGTCTGCATCCCTTGAGCGCAGGGGTGGCGCCATAGCAGGGACCGGGACGGGCTGCCTGCCATCCTTGGCCGAGCCGATGCCCGTCGCCCGTTCGATCTCCGATAGGATGTCCTCGACCCGCAGCCCTCGCATGCTGCCCTGCACCACCACGCCGACGCCGTCGCCCTCGTCGCCCTTGCGCTTCATAAAGTCGAGCAGCACCGGCAGCTTGGACCCCACGCCGTGGAACACGATCGAGTAGCCGACCTTGAGCTGTGCCTCGTAGACCGGCACCATGCTCTTGCGGTATGCGCGTACCGCCCGATCCGCGATGCTGCCCGGCCCCGTCATGCGGGCGCAGGCCGCCTCCAGCCTCGACGGCTCCAAGGGCGGCAGGATGGAAGAGATCAAAGTCTTGGACGCCGACAGCGAGCTGCGGCCCTTGCGCGACGAGTTGTTGACAAAGTAGGCGTCGGATGTCGTCGGTCGCAGCAGCTTCGAGCCTTGACCGCCGTGGCCGCCGTGGATGTCGATCGCTGCCGAGGCGGAAGTCGATGCGGCCGTACGGTGCATGGAGGTCGACGGCGAAGCTGCGGCAGATGGTGCGCTCTTGCTGTCGAGGGCGGTGGCCCGATTGGCCGTGTTGGCCGCCGGTGCGCTTGATGAGGCCAGCTGCGTCGCCGCTATCGCTGTCGCTGTCGCTGCCGCTGCCGCTGCCCCCGCCTCAGCTGTCGCGTCAGGAGCCGGAGTCGATGATGCTGCCGGTGTTTGCTGCGCTGCCGAGCCTGGCCCTGCAATGGCAGCGTCGAATGCTGCCGAAGAAGCCGCCTCGGTCGCATCCGTCATGCCTGCATCCTCGACCTTGATGCCGGTCTTTTGCTTCTTGGCCGGCGACTGCCGCTCGCCTACATACTCCACGCCCTCGCCGAGGTACGAGCTGAGCAGGTCGGTATCGAGGGCGGCCGCGTAGAGCGCGCTCTCGGCATCGTCTTCCTCCTCGATCTTGGGCTTCTCCCGCTTCGGCGCCTTTGGCTTGGGAGGCGCGGCGCCATCGCGGTTCTTTGGCGGCCTGCCTCTGCGCGGCGGCGTGGTGACGATGGGCTTTGGCTTCCGCGGTCGTCCTCGCCCGCGTGGCGTGCCGTCCGGGTTGAAGTTCTTGGGCTGCTTCCACGGCGGGATCTCGCCCGGGGCGTACTTTCGCGGCCGGCCTCGCTTTTTCGGCGGGATGACGACCTGCGGGTTTGTGCCGGTGATGGACGTGGCGATGGGCGTGTCGTCGGCGGCGGCCGCAGCGGCGGTCGAGGAGGATGCGGCGGCCGATGACGTTGCTGCTGCCGATGCGGGTGCAGGTTTGGCGGCGGCGGTCGCTTTGGCCCTGGGCTTGGCCGCCGTCTTTGTGGCTGCTGCCTTGGCGGCCGGCTTCTTGGTTGCGCTGGCGGTCGACTTGGCAGCAGCAGCCTTGGACGTGGAGGACGTGGCCGGTGTGGCAGCGGCGGTAGGCGTCGAAGGCCCGTGTGCGTTGTCGACCGCCGCCTCGGCCTCTGCGGCCTTGGCTTTGGCCTTTCCCTTGGCCTTGCCGTTGGCAGCAGCTGATGTCGTCGTGGAGGGTGTGGCGCGGGCGGACGTGGGTGCGGGTGGCAAGAGATCGATCTCGTCTCGGCCGTTGTCGGCGCCGTCCTCGTTGGCCGCGGCTTCGGGTGCGGGTTCGCCTTCCGCCGCCTTTCTCGCTCGAGTCCTTGCTGGAGCTTTGGCCGCAGGGGTCGCGGCGGATGGCGTCGAGGCGGCGGTGTCTGTGGAGCCAGCTTTGGCCTTTGCAGCCGCCGCAGCCGCCCTTGTCGGGGTGGACTTGGGTGCCGCAGCCATCTTCGTGCTGGCAGCTGCTGGAGACGCTGCCGTCGTGGCCGCCGACTTGGCTGCCGCTGCCGCTGCTGCGCCCGGTCTCTGCCACGTCTTTCGTGGCGTGTAGGCGGCGGCTGTCGGTGGCTCCTTTGTCGGTGTCGAGGGCGCTTTTAGCGGCATGGTGTCGCGACCGCGAGGGGTGTTGCGGGCAAGGGACGGACGGAAACGGAAGGGGGTGGCAAGCCGGGTCGTGTCGATCAGATGGGCATGTTGGTGGCAGGGCGTACGCTTGCAGCAGCGGCAGCAGCAGCAGCAGCGAGTGGGCAGAGTTGGTCGGCGCAGGTGAAGGTGTACTGCAGCGCCAATGTGGCGAGTACGGTGGTGTTGTGATGGTGGTCGGAGGCGAAGTAGGAGCGTGGTCGCCGAGGCGGAGTGCCAGAGGTCAGTTGGCGGCGGCAGGTGTTGGTCTGCGCGCCCCGTCGCTCCTCGCAGCTGAGGCCTCCTGCAGGGCCCACGCAGACGCACCACAGCCCGACCTAGCCTCCTGGGCGACGGCCAAAGGGTCTGCCCCGCGCCCTACCTCCATCTCGCCCGATCAGCAGCAGAGTGGCGACCCTGCCCCGATGCCAGACCTGACTGCGGGAGAGCGCCCACTCGACGGTTTTTCTTTTTCTCCTTTTCGCCCTCGCCGAGTGGGTGGACGGGTGGACGGGTGGACCGATGGGTGGGTATAAGAAGCGTCGCTCAGCCTGGTCGACTTCGTCCCTTTCCTCACCTAATAGAAACACAAAACTCACGGCGCACCATTACCAAGGCCCCTGCTCTCGCTGCCCCTTGTGGGCCGGCCGCCTCGGGATTTTTGCGAGTCCACGGCGGCCGTGGGCAACGGGCCATGAAGGGGCGCCACCATCAAACGGGGATCTATAATGCTCGCCGGTCGCCAGCATGGCCGTGCTCGGGTTTCGCTTTCCCCAGACATTTCCGCCGTCGTCTCATCTTCTTGCCCGTTGGAGTCGTCGTCCGCGGTTGCTCCCCTCGTCGGTAGCGATGCCTGCTCGTTGTGAATGATATGCCATCTTGTGACGTGATACCGATCCTCTCGTGTGTGTGTGTGTCGCTGGCCGACGTCGAGCGTGGCCTAGCAGAGGGGATGGCGACCACCATGGGCCAAGGCGGCGGTGGGCGTTGCTCGCGGCGCTGCCAAAGTGCAGGCCAAAGGACGGATCCGGGGCCGACGCATCCGAGCCAGCCAACAAGCCACCCTCGGCGGCGTGGCCCTCGCGCACAGCCACGCACACCGCCGCGGACCCGCACGCCTCCACACTCGGCCAGGGCGGCGCGGCGTTGGCCCCTCGCTCGGGCGGCTCCCTCTGTCGCTTGTCCCACTTTGACCGTCACCCCTTCACCTCACCACTCACGCCACCCGCTCGCCGTACCGCCTCCCATCTGTCCGCACCTTTGCTCCCATCGCTCGCCATGCCTTCCAAGTCCAACAAGAAGCAGCCCTCCTCGTCGACCGACGAGTCCGCCATCGACGATCCCGTCCCCTCGTACGAGACCGCCCTCCAACAGGGCGCAGGCGGAGGCCACCTCGCCGCCGCCCCCGCCACTGCCGGCCCATCCTCGTCCTCCTCCTCATCCCCGTCTCCGTCCGGCCCGCACCCCGCGCACGCCCGCTACGCCTACGGCAACGACCCCTACACCTCGTCGGGCACCGCGCGCATCCTCATCATCCCCGCAGCAGCCGCACCACCGCCACCCGGCCACGCCACCCACCTGCTCCCCGCACCCGCCTCGACGGAGCGACGCGGCCCCAGAGCCGGGCCCCGGTTCTGCAAGGCGCTGCTCTACGCTTTCCTCATCTACATCCTCGCCGGCCTCATCACCGGCGCCATCACCGACGCCGCCGTCAGAGAGGGAAACAGGAGGCACAGGCACCCACACCAGCACGACGGCGACACCCCTCCCTACCACCGCGACCCCTGGGACGGCAGCGACGGCCGCGGGTGGAGCGTCGAGCCAATGTCGATCCGCGCCGACGCACAGTGATGGTGCGGCAACGCGGCGCCCGGCACAACGATGCGCACATCGAACTCGGTCGACCCTCGCAGCGCACTGCCCGCCCACTCTCTCGCATCGAGCCCTCCTTGTCGTGTCACTCGCACCGGTCCCTCTTCGCCGCGCCCCTCCGCTCTCCGTCTCAAGTGACCACGCTCCAGGCTCCAGTACACCTCTTGTCGCCTTCTTCACCCTGTACGATATGACCCTCACGACATGATATCACGCAGAACCAGGTCCACGCTCACGACTCACGAAACTCAAGTGCGACGGCGCTCTCTGCAGTCGAGCCGCAGCCTGCCCCGTTCCTCGTCACGACACAGCCATGATTCGTTCCTCGGCACGCCGTCTCGGCGCGTGCCCCGCGTCTGCCGCCGCCAATCGCCTCGATGCCCCAGCACACCAGCGAGCGAGACCCCTGCAGAGCCCATTGCCGCCCGATCCCATTCGCCAGAGCAGCTCCAAGCCCGTCTGTGTATATCCTCGAGCCGCGTCGATGGACGGCCCCCCTGCCAGTATTCCTCGCTCCATCCGAGTCCTCCCCCTCACACGCCGTCGTCCTTGCCTGCGCCACTCGTCGCGCCCAAGGACGGCGAGCAAACGACGAAGCACCGAGGCAGACCGGCCGCCGACCAACGAGAAAAAGCTTACCCAGCGCCAAAAAAAGGGTGCGAACATGAAATGAGAAAAAGAAAAGCTCTCCAAATCCGGGAATCGAACCCGGGTCTGCACCGGTCACTCCCTCGGCGAAGAGGGAGGCGCAGAGTGACAAGGTGCCGTCATAGCCACTAAACTAATTCGGAGTCGGTTGTCTTTGTCGGCCAAAGTTGACAATATCAAAGCGTCAGCCAGTGGGGAACTTGCGCCAAGCAGCGTTCGTCTGCGCAGCCCATTGTAGCCCTAACCCTGACCCTAACCCTGTCCATCTACAAGGCTGAATGTGGATTGGGATGCGTTGGCCATCTGGTGGACTTAGGTTTACATGTATGAGGCTGAATGTGGATTGGGTTGCATCGGCCGTCTGGTGGACCCTGGCTGTATTGTAGCACCTGGTCCCATCTACAAGGCAGAATGTGGATTGGGACATGTTGCCTTCCTGAATTCAAACTTGCAAGACAGACTACTACTGCCAGGAAGATGGGCAACTACAAATCAGAAGACAGGCTGCTGCAACCAGGAAGACTGGCAATTACAGACAGGAAGATGGGCAATCACAGACAGGAAGATGGGTGCCTACAGCTCAGAAGATGGGTGAATACAATCCAGCAAGAAGGGCAACTACAGCCAGGAAGATGGGCAACTACAAATCAGAGACAGGCTGCTGAATTAGGAGACAGGGGTTCAAATAAATTACAAATTCAAAGATCAGCTTGTGAGATGGTGAGCTGGAAAATGCAAGGGTCCAGGGTTTGAAATGCAGGGGTCAGGGGTTTTGAGGTGCAGGGATGCAGGGGCCAGTGGCTTGAAATGCAGGGGTCCAGGGTTAGGGTTCCAAAAGGCTCCCCAAGTCGCTTGGCTGCCGCGTTGCTCGTCTCTCCTGGCCGGAGTGGACCCTGACAGGCCGTTGCTGGCCTGCCAGACGCGCTGAGCGGGCCCTGGTAATTCCAAAGAGGAATACAAATTTAGACTTTTAGCCGAGCTGGTGGACCCTTTGACTACAACTTGGAGACACATGCGACTACACCTGGACACGGCCCATTACAGTCCAAGACATACGTGCAACTACAACAGGGGACACAGGCAACTACAGGCTGTCTACGTGCAACTACAAGCCAGGACACGGCCAACTACAGCCTGTGAGAGGACTACATCCGCTGATCATCCCTCACCACCAACACGTCCACGCCAACCATCGCCGTCACAGCCATCCAGGCGCCCGCTGCAGCACCACCTGGTCCATCCTCCACGCCGTCACCTCCATCATGAGCCAGGTCGCCTGCCCAGTCTGCCAGTTTGCCATTGCACGCAGCAACATCACTGCACACATCCGCCGACAGCATGCTGGTGTGCCTGTCAGCCCAGAGGCAGCCGCTGCCAGAGGTCTGGTTGCGTGCGGGTGCGGCCAGGTCGTTCTCAGTGCTGCTGCACTCAAGCAGCACCAGGGGATCAAGAGGTGCGGTGGAAGCAGGCCCGCCACAGAGGCCGCACGCCTGGCAGGGGCAAGCCCTGTTGCCGGCCACACAGCCAGCATGGCCGTGACAGCCAGCTTGGCCCCGGTGGATCCAGCCGCAGCCCCTCTGACCGGCCCGCTGGGCGATGCGGTCCCCGATGCTGGCTCCTCTGTCAGCAGCAGGCCAAGCCAGGGAGCAGCAAGCGGTGGAGCACAGAGGGATGGACCATCAAGGGAGCAGGAGTCAAGCAGGCAGCGGTCAAACGGCGGACAGTTCAGTGGCGGGCAGGCAAGCAGCGGCCAGCCAAGCGCCAGGCCGTCAAGCGTTCGGCCGTCAAGGGGTGGACGGTCCAGCAGTGACGGGCCCATCCGCAGTGGCCGAAGCGATGGGCCCCACCGCACGGACAGGGCAGGGAACAGCCCATCAAGGGGGACCGCAGCACGCAGTCCAGTGAACGAGGGGCCAGAGACGCCGACATACCTACGGGGATCCCAGCCTGTGGTTGTCATACCAGCCGCACAGGCAAGGAGCACGGGAGGCAGTCCGGCAGGCAGCCGGACACCGACGCCCACATACCCACAGGGATCCCAGCCTGTGGTCGTCATACCGGCCGCGCCGTCAAGGAACAGGAGACAGGTTCAAGGCTCACGCTCACCGGTGCAACAGGATGCACCGCCGCCCGTGCAAGTGCCAGACAACATCCCTCCTGTGCTGCGGCCGCTTGAGGAGCCAGACATGGAGCTGGACCTGCCGGTCAGCTCTCCGCTTGATGTGGATGCCTTTGCAGTGACCGTCAGCCCAGCAGCGCTGCTCTCTCAGTTTGGGCGTGGGGCGTACATCACCGTTGCCAGCTACGCCAAGGACTTTGATGACCTGGAGCACTTCAGCAGCTGGATCCACTTTGGGACGCTTGGCGTGCTCTTCCGTTGCCATCCACAGTACAAGATCCCACTCCTTGAGCGTCTGCGTGGTGCACCGCAGCACAGCAAGGTGTACAAGAACGAGCACCCGACCGCGTTTGCAATGGGGGAGCCGATGCTGTCCCTTGGCATCGTGGTCGATGCCCTGCAGGCCTTACAAGGTGTTCTGTGGGAAAAACATGGTAGGGCTGCTTGATGAAAGTTGTTCAAAAGCCATTTCTGAACAACTTTTGGATAGTAGCCCTACTCAGTTTAGACTGCCAATTTCCCAATAGACGCTCCGCAAAAACGTCCGCTTTTGGGGTCGAACGCCAAAAAGTTGGGAATTTCGACTTGGTCCCTTATTGAAAGTTGTGTACTTTTATGAGTTTGGAAGGCCCCTAGAAGATGGGAAAGATCCATCCATTGGTTGCGGAGAAAAAGTAGAATTTGCATTTTTAGCCCCAGAGCAAAGGGGGGACCCTTACCAGGTCCAGATTTTGACCACCCCGGATCTTCTTGGTGCCTTAATGAAAGTTGTTTGGGACGCTCTGGAGAGCATGTGTGTGAAGTTTGGGGATGGGTTGTCAAGTGAGAAGTGGCTGGGGAGGTGCCCAAAAAGTCGACTTTTTGCCACCTGAGGGCTGTCACTATACATCCCTGACCCTCTGGTGG